AACTGGTCAATTTCAGTTTCTTCAGCACCAGTGGTTGGTGCATAAACTTGGATTACTATGATGTTAAAAGGTCTGCCTTGGATTCGTATCGAGATCATTCTATCATTTTTGAGATTGCATCCCAGTACAGCTTTTGCCACTCTTTTGCCACAGCTTGTTGACTATGAGGGCCACTCCATTTCTTTTACGGGATTCTTGACCACAGTAGTAGATGTGATGGTCCTCTGAACTGAATTCGCCCATTCCCGTCCATTTTAGTTCACTGATGCCCAGGATGTCAATATTTATTCTTGCCATCTCATTTTTTACCACATCCAACTTACGCAGGTTGATGGTTCTTACATTCCAGGTTCCTATGCAATATTTTTCTTTACAGCATTGGACTTTCCTTTCGCTTCCAGGCATATCCGCAACTGAGCGTCCTTTCGGCTTTGGCCCAGCCGCTTCATCAGCTCTGAATCTACTTGTACTTGTCCTCCGCTCTTCCTCAGTAGCATGTTGGACGCCTTCCGACCTGAGGGGCTCATCTTCCAGCGTCATAACTTTTATATGCCTGTTGTCTTTGTCCATGGAGTTTTCTTGGCAGGGATACTGGAGTGGCTTGCCGGTTCCTGCTCCAGGTGGATCACGTTTGGTCAAAACTCTCCACTATGACCTGTCCATCTTGGGTGGCCCTGCATGGCATAGCTCATAGCTTCTCTGAGTTATTCAAGCCCCTTCGCCACGGCAAGGCAGTGATCCATGAAGGGGGGGGGAGAGAATTTAGGGTTTCATAATTGATTATTGTGGATGAACCCTTTTAGAGTGGCTATTCTCAAATAACATACAGTGGTACTTTGGTTCTCGAACGTAATCCATTCTCGAAGTCTGTTCGACTTCCAAAAACGTTCAAAAACCAAGGCATGGCTTCTGATTGGCGCTGGCACCCCAGAAACAATAGCCAACAACCACATCAGATATTCGGCTTCCAAAAAACGTTCGCAAACCGGAACACTTACTTCTGGGTTTACGGTGTTCATGTTCCGATTTGTTTGTCAGTTAAGCTGTTTGAGAACCAAAGTTCCACTGTATAATGTTAGTGTGTATATTTGTTTTTTACAACTGTTGATTTTATCTATACATAGGTATTTCGAAATTTTTATTATGTTTTCTTACTGTTTTTAAAGTTTGTTTGATTACTTTTTAAAAATTTAAAACCTTATGCTATGTTATGTAAACCATTTTAGAGATTTTTTGAATGTACTATATAAAACTTGCTAAATAAATATTTATATTACTCTCCCCCCCTTTTTTAAGCTGTGTCAGTAGATGTTTTTGTAGAAAGTGGCTGAGTGATACAACTGAGAGATATTACAAGATTTAAAAGACAGTTAAATAAAACAGGAGAAACGTTTTTTTTTAAAAAAAATGAAAAGAATTAAAGTGTAAAAAAATTAAAATAAAATAACTTGATTATTGTAATATGCTCCTGCAGTGTGCTCTATATGGAGCTACCCTTGAATTGGCCAGAGGTTCTGGCCAGTGCAAAATGCTGCAGCCAGTGTTCCTCAGACTTGGGACGCCAATTGTCAGGGGCAGGTGCCAGGAGCAGGTCCGTAATAACTCACACGACATCAGTGAAATTCACTCTTTATTCAAAGAAACAAACAGCGCAGGAGGCCTACTGACCATGGCAACTCGTCTCGGTAGATCTTGCCCCAGTGAGGCAGTTGTGAGGATTGAAGGTTCCCATTTTCCCACAGTTTCCCTAAGCCGCCTCCTCCCCCAGCTGCTTCCCAAGAAATCTGAGACTCGGTCAACACGTCTGTCTCTGCCCTGCCCTCTTCATACCTCTTCTGGTTCTGGGAGACCAGGGAGAAGGGAAGCTGGTCACAGGGTGGGGGGCAGTCTCCCTGGCTTCTTCAGTCATCTGCCTCATCTCTGTCTCTTGGCCCTTCTTCCTCTCCAGCCTCTGCTTCTGCTTCTGGACTGCCCTCTGCCACAGCCTCTTCCTGCTCACTAAAGCCTGTTACATCTTCAGCTTCCGACACCTCCTCTTCCAAGTTTGCCCCCTCTTCACCCTCTGAACACTCATTGTTATCCCATCACCAATCCCTGGGCTCTGAGCCTTCTTCCCTTGGGAGGTTCCCAGGCAGGTGCCTCCCCCCACTCCTCTGCATCCAACCAGTCCATGGTACCAACTATTGTGGTACTACAACTCCCATCATCCCTCACCACTGGTCCTGCTAGCTAGGGATGGTGGAAGTTGTAGTCCAACAACAGTTTGAGAAACACTGAATGGGGACAGGCTACCACCAGGACATGATTTCAGTGCTTAAAACTTTGTACTGGCTGCCAATAGGTTACCAGGAAAGTTCTTGTATTAATTTACAAGGCCCTTGAGTCCAGGACAACAACAACAACAACAACAACAACAACAACAACAACTTATTTATACCCTACCCATCTGGCTGGGTTTCCCCAGCCACTCTGGACGGTTTCCAACAAAATATTAAAATACAATAGTCCATCAAACATTAAAAGCTTCCCTAAAGAGGGCTGCCTTCAGATGTCTTATAAAGTCTGGTAGTTGTTTTTCTCTTTGACATCTGGATATTTTAAGGACTGCCTGATCCTTGTCCAATTGTTATATAGGCCTCCTATAGGCAGATTTACACATTCCCAATATTTGAATTAATCTTAGTGCCTACCAGTGCTTTTTTCTGGGGGGACGCATACCCCTAAGCATTTTGTGAATCTAAGTTTGGCCTTATTGAGGGGCAGTATTTCAACAGGAGTAGGAAAATGAGAGTACCCCTAAACATTTTTTTTTTAGAAATATAGCAGTGGTGCCCACAGTAGTCCCTTTTAGCTGAGAACGTTGCCCTATGAACTGTTGTTATTATATGTGTATGCTGTGCTTGTGAAACCTATATTCACCTTAATATTTATGACCCTATTAATCTCCTTCAGTGCCCTCAACCCCCCCTACCCCATTACTTTATGCCTGATTAATGAGGATATCAAAGTAACGCTCCACTGATGTTCATTATTCAACAGGCCATTCCACACAATTTTATTCCTCACCAGGTAAACAGCTCTGGTGGTAGCAAATGAATTTATTTGCCCAGTGTTTGCCGTGTGTCTGTGTATCCCACTTACAATTAATAGCATTAGTGTCGCATGGAGATAGCGGAGAAATCCAATTCAGTTCACATTTAAAAGCGAACCCACCTGATTTGCATTTTCCAAAAGAATCTGGGGACTGAAACACAGCCTGTGAAATTTGCACTTTCCACATTTTGCAGTTCTCCAACCAAGTAATGTGTACAAAAATGGATATACGTACATGTACAAAAATGCAAGTGTAATGCGTACATACAAATGCAAATCTTCGTGAAAATAGCATGCAGATCATTTTATATTTGGGGAAATTGCTTGTCAAATTTGTGCGTATTAGGCAAAACTGTGTAGAAAAATGTGTATATTAGGAGAAATTTGTATTAAAATGCTGGTGATGTTTCATGAGGACTTTTTTAATTTAAAAAAATCACAACCTGATATGGAAATGTGGAGAACTGAAGACTTGGAAAAAGAGAAACCAAAACGGACAAATTCACCAGCCCCTACCACATCACCAGCAACCACTATAGCTAATAGATGAAATACGATGGTGAGGAAATTGCTTGCCGATGGGCTTCACCGAAAAGCATTTCTGGCAGGTTAGAACACACAATCCATTTGAGAGATAACTTGCATATCTCTAGGCAGAATATGTGTGTGCTTACTACAAGTTACTGGGCAACATATATTTGTCAGTTTGCATTTCTTAGTGCAGAAAGTATTGATCTGATGTGTAGGGATCTTTCCTATTCTGATTAGTTCATAGAATCATAGAATCATAGAGTTGGAAGAGACCACAAGGGCCATCGAGTCCAACCCCCTGCCAAGCAGGAAACACCATCAGAGCACTCCTGACACTCCTCCAGTTCAGGAGGGCGTTGGAAGCTTCTCTGCGAAAGAAGCAAGCAAGATGGTTCATGAGTTGTTTGGCTTATACCTTCTGGGAAGCTGAGTACAGCTGGTTGAAACTGGTTCTGTTATCTTTCTGTCAAAGTCATGCTGACTATAACAAGAGGCCAGAAGGAGCCAGGGTTTCCCACACTTTCTCTTTCTATCTCTTTTCCTTCTGGTGGGGTGTTCTGTACATAGTATGCTTAGTATCAGTTTAGTATTATTTTAAGTATTTTAAGTTAGTTAAGTCTGCTGCAACTGGATTCTTATGGACTGTGCCAATCCTGAATGTATTGGATTTGTGACCATTCTGCTCATTTGCCTTCAGTAGCAGTAAAGCACTGCTGGATGAAATACAATTGCCTCTGGTCTACTTTTTGGGAGCTCTGCAACATGTTTCAGTTTTTCCTCCACACGTATGATGTATGTGATGCTGGAAACTACAAGAACCTACGAGAGTTTTCTGTTCTCCATGTGCACATTTAACACAAATTACTGTGAACCCCAAAGCAGGGGTTGACAGGTCAGAGGAAGGGCTGTAGCTCAGTAGTACAGCAAGTGCTCTGCATGTGGAATGTTCCAGGCTAAATTCCTGGCGTCTCCTGGGAGACCTGGAAATGTCCCCTGTCTGAAAGTCTGGCCACTGCCAATCACTGCAGGTAATACTGAGCTAGATGGATCTATGGGGCAGACTTTGGTCTTTCAGATTTCACTGATGTCCTGTACTAGGCCAAAATTCACTGCACCCCTTGCTTCTTGCCTTCTGTCCTGCTTGGTTCACTACGTCATACTGTATTTACTCAAGTCTAATGTGCCACCGAATTTAAGGCACAACTCAATTTTCAGAACCTTGAAACCAAAAACGTATTTGCTGGAGAATGTAAATGTGCCATCGAATCTAATGTGCACCTTAATTTTTGCAACATAATTTGGCCAAAAAAGGTGAGTGTTAGATTTGAGTAAATATGGCAGTTGTGATGACCTGCAGCGCCCCCTAGGCTAGCCATCCAGTGTGGCAGAACTGGTTGAGCTACCCTAAACAACAACAACAACAACTATTATTATTATTATTATTATTATTATTATTATTATTTAGGGCAGCTCAACCAGTTCTGCCACACTGGATGGTATTACTACCACTGCTATTACTATTGTTGTTGTTGCTGCTGCTGTTGTTGTTGTTGCTGTTATTCTTATACCCCATCCATCTGACTGGGTTTAATAAAATATCAAGCATTAAAAACTTCCCTGTACAGGGATGACTTCAGTTGTCTTCTAAAAGTTGACTAGGTATTTATCTCCTTGACATCTGATGGGAGGGTGTTCCACAGGGCAGGCGCCACTACTGAGAAGGCCCTCTACCTGGTTCCCTGTAACTTCACTTCTCGCAGTGAGGGATCCACCAGAAGGCCCTCAGAGCTGGACTTCATTATCCGGGCTGATTCGCCTCTGCTCAGGAAAAGGCAGCTTCCCATGGAACAGAGTCTAGTAAAGTTTTTGCACATCAAGAGGAAAGGTGTGGTGAGTTTGGCATGTCAGAAGGAGGAGCCTGTAGGTTTTGGCACAACAGGAAGCAGCCTGGTTGATCAGAGTATGGTGTCAACAGAAAGAGGATTCTAACCACCACCACCTCCAGTTCAAAACAGCTGGCTTATTCAATGAAATGCTGGGTACTGGTGGTATTAAAAGGCTAGCCGTTTTATACATTCACTTGAAGTCTTCCCGCACACCCCCTGCCCCTGCCAAAAGTAATTCAAATGGTGTGAATTTGATATGAAAACTAGCAGTGGATGAAAAAGAGAAACCTAACCAGCATACACAATTTACTTTTGGCCCTTTAACATGGAAAACACTTTCTTCGCTGAGAAACCCATGGCCACACACTAATTATAAATGCATTGAAGTGCATGTTCAAGACACATCTGTGGTGGATTTCCCATTCTTTCAAGTGTGAATGAATTCTCCCCTTCCCCTTCCAGTATCTTGCAAAAAGAAGAAGAAGAAGAAGAAAGGGGGATTCATTGTATTTTGATTAATCCATGCTCGGTCCACCTCAAATGTTTCCATGGAGACTAGATTCCTCTCCCCTCCCCCCTTGAAGGCAGCTGTTAGCTTCAGGAAGGTTAGCTCAGTCCTTTACACAAGCTCACTTGAGCTCCTAAAGAACCCCTTATTTGAGCTCTTGTGTGCATCAACAAAACTCCCAAATTCCTCTGAGTATCATTGGTGTCAATGCTAATACAGCAGTGTTTGCTTAATGACTTTTCAGTTCAGTGGTGAATCGGAGAATAATCTCACCATTCAAAATAACTATTTCCACTGAGCAAGGAAAGAGAATCCATAACGTGAGCAAATTGTTAAGGAACTGGAAAGAAATCTTAATATATTTTTTTATATTATGAGACCAACCAAACCACTCAGTTACCAGTACAGATCTAGGAGATGACTCAGTAATAGAATGCTAACATTATAAATTCAAATTCAAATTATTCTTCATCTCAAAACAGGTTCTTGCAATTTCACAATATATTTTAACTAGATCAAGGAATATAGTGTATTGATGTTCTGTACTGTTCTGATTAGCTTCAGCTGTACGCTTCAGAAAGGGCAAAGTTGGGATATGAGAATTGGCAGTGCTTTTCTCCTGGGGGGAAGCAGGGGTACGCATACCCCTAAACATTTTGTGAATCTAAGTTTGGCCTCACTGAGGGGCAGTATTTCAATATGAGTAGGAAAATGAGAGTACCCCTAAACATTTTTCTAGAAAAAAAGCACTGAGAATTGGTATTATTAACCTGACAGTGCCCTAAAATCAGGGATAGGCAACACGGTGCCCTCTTGTTGTTGTTGACGCCAACTCCTATTAGCCCCAGCCAGCATGGCCGATAGTCAAGGATGATGGGAATTGTAGTCCAACAACATTTTGAGGACCAAATGTTGGCTACCCCCGCCCTGAATTACTGTAGCAATTTTGCCAGCGTTCATGTAAAAACAGTTTTTGATTGTGCAAGCTATTTCTTCTACTCGGTGTGGTCTAGTCTAATAGGCCCTGGGGCTGCTCCATTGTCTGTTCTTTCTCGCCACTTCCCTACCATAAAATTTGACGTCACTTCCTTTTACTGCTTGAGTTTGCTATTTGAAAGTATACCAATTTACAGCCAAGGAAGTAAGGTCCTGGACTTACATCTAAGAAAACAAGTTGTACAACAAGCTATTGTTGACATCCGTCCGTCTCGAGAGACAATGGAGTGCACCTCCGGGGGTGAAGTCAAACTGTGTTGTTAGCAGCACCAAAGTGACCTCCCTGGAACACAGGCCTGGGCAGTGTGTATGGAGGTCCTGGGTTGCTGATATGGTCCAAAGGAAAGCAGAGCAATACGTTGGCACCAGCTTGGCTGCAGGAGTTGCTGGAAGGAGACATACAAGGCATCATTCAACCACCTTAGGGACTTCACTTTGGATTTGTGAAGGGCTTAGACTTCTCTTCTCCAGAGGAGGAGTGGAGATTTAGGACCAGAGTTTTTCTTCCCCTAGATGGGCAACCTTCCCAGGTTGACGAGCCCCATCTGCCCCTTGCTTCCCTCGACAACACATGCAGAAACCACCTTCTTGACCGTTGGACCCACTATGGGCCTTGTCCGCTCTCTGCGCCAGAGCCTGTCTTCACATGCAAGGGAAGTCCCTAACTCCCTGTTAACCCTTTGGCTACCTTCACCTGGTTTAGCTGCAAGAGGCTGTGGGGTTTTTCACCACTGAATGCAATAGTAATGCATGTTACCGCACGCACTGAGCAACAATAAGAATAATCAGCTCCAGTATACCGGGAACCGGGAACCTGGTTGTTGTAGTAAACGCACATTGGATTTTATAAAAACAAACTAGCAAAGGCTTTATTGTATCGTTGTATCAAGCATTAATGCTTGAGTTACTGAATGTATTTTCACAAAACACCAGGCCAGATAGAACTCCATTGTGATATTGTAGTAAGTAACTGCAAACCACATTTGACAAGGCTTAGTACTAGGTACGCTGCTTGTTCTACTCTGTTTTTCTAAGAGTGGGGCATTATCCTGATTGTACACCTGCGGCATAAAACGTCCTAGACCCAGTCAATGTTAGCGGATTGGGGGAATAAAAACACCCCGTTGTTTTCTTCATAGGAAAATGGCCAGGAGCACCGAAGAGCACTGGAGTCAAGAAAACTTGCAGTCTCATGACAAAGAAGTAAACAAGCTTGTAATCACACCCTCAAGGACCACCTTTCTTTGCCTAGGCTATTTCCCCCACTCCCACCCTTCATCTGACACCGTAGAAACAAACGTTATCTGGGGTTCAACTTCTACCTCACCATACGGTAGAAATCTCCTGGGGTAGAAAATACGCCTCAAAAACCGGGTGGTTTATTTATTTTTTTAGGTCCAACACTAGATGAGGGTTAAGGACCACCTGAGCACTTATATCCCAGCTTTATCACAGAAATCTACTGGAGGAATGCCATGTTGCAGACTGAAGAAGCTGCCTTGGGTGATGGAATCCCAATGGGGTGGAAACCCCACAAAACCCCACTGGAAAGCCAGGAGAAACAGCAGCAGGTTCCATCAAGATCTTGCAAGAGCCCTGTGAAATCTCATGAGATCTCAAGTAGCTCTTGCAAGCTCTCACAGGGCTCTGTGTGAGTTATTGCCACTGCCACCACTTCTCACTTTTCTGGTGCCGTTGCAGGTGCCTCTCACTCACCATCTACCACCAGAGACGCAAGGAAAAGTGACTCTAGCACCACCCTCCAGGTTCCAGCAAAAGACCAGGTTGGTTGTGGCTGCAGCATCTTACTGTTTCACCTCAGGTGGCAAAACACAATGGGCCTCCCCGGCCCGTGTGAATGAGGTCATGATCGCTATGAGAAATTAAGCATTGAGTATACAATGAGGAATGTTCTCCTGATGGAAATCGGCCAAACCTCCTCGTTTCTTATTTTCAGAAGCCTTTTGAAGCCTTTCTTGCATCAATAGGCCTTTTTATTTGGATGAATGATATGTGTTTGGCAAGTTCCTTGTGATGTTTTCTGCTTTTATATTTTTCTCACATTCTAATTTAATATTTGTTGTATACCGCTTAGATGTTTTCTATATGAGTTAACATTGTAGAAATAATTTTTTTTAAAAAATAAGTAAATATTTTTAGCAAGTAAGTACAAAAGAACAGCTAAATAAATAATTCCTTATCCACCCCTGGTTTTTAACTTCCTTTCTAATAGCTTGATTTAAGTAGCTTTATGGTTACCATCTGGGGTTAAATGCAACAATAATTCTTGTTTGTCAAGGATGTTAAAATATATTCATGCAAGGGAACAGTTTCATTTCCTGTCTGTCAGAGGCACATATTGTTAGAACTTCCTTTCAGACTTCCTCATATTTGTGCAAATACATAATAAATTAGCTCACACCTAAAGCTGATATGCACTATGCATAAATATTTTCCCCTGCAAAAACCAGGCAAAACCACAAAAGCCTCTGCATTGCATGTTTTATTAGTAATCTATGGAGGGAAAATGAAATGGTTGATTACAGTTAGGATTTATTAATTAATTCTTTGGCCCAAAAGAAATATATGAAGTGAATGAAGGCAAAAAGGCATCAAGGAACAATCTGAATGTAAAAGAAATATTTTTGTGGCCATGGTGAATTTTAAGACCAATCATCAGTTTTTTTCTGAAACAAAGATTAGTGGATCATAGAATCATAGAATCCTAGAACATAGAGCTGGAAGGGACTCTGAGAGCCAGCTAATCCAAATCCCTGATATAATAAGATTATTAGTACAGTGGTACCTTGGTTTACAAACTTAATCCATTCTGGAAGTCTGTTCTTAAACCAAAGCGTTCTTTAACCAAGATGTGCTTTCCCATAGCAGCAGGGGACTCAATTTACAAATGGAACACACTCAACAGGAAGCAGAACATGTTCTGCTTCCAAGGGAAAGTTCACAAACACAAACACCTACTTCCGAGTTTGCAGGGTTCTTAATCCAAGTTGTTCATAAACTAAGTTGTTCTTAAACCAAAGAACCACTGTACATGCTTCCGGGGAGTGGGGGGGAATGAGCCATACTAATGGAATATCAGACC